AGGGGCTTTTGGGGTTCCTCAGAGGTTTTGGGGTGTCCCTGAGGGGGTTTCAGGTGGTTTTGGGGTGCCCTGGTGCGACTGCGACGCAAAGACTTCATTCTCTTCGACTTCCTTCTGGTCTGGTTCTTGGGAGACGTGGATTTTGGGGTCCATCAGGGGGATTTGTGGTTCCTCAGAGGTTTTTGGCATTCCTCAGGGCGTTTTGGGGTCCATCAGGGGATTTTGGGGTTCCTTGAGGTGGTTTTGGGTTTCTTCAGGGGGTTTTGGGGTTCCTTAGGGAGTTCTGGGGGGTTCCTCAGGGGATTTTGGGGTCCATCAGGGGGTTTTGGGGTCCATCAGGGGGTTTTGGGTTGTCCCTGAGGTTTTTGGGGTTCTTCAGGGGGTTTTGGGGTTCCTCAGGGAGTTCTGGGGGGTTCCTCAGGGGGTTTTGGGATCCATCAGGGGATTTTGGGGTTCCTTGAGGTGGTTTTGGGGTTCCTCAGAGGATTTTGGGGTTCCTCAGAGGATTTTGGGGTTCCTCAGGGAGTTCTGGGGGGTTCCTCAGGGGGTTTTTGGGTCCATCAGGGGGATTTTAGGGTTCCTCAGGGGTTTTTTTGGGGTTCCTCAGGGAGTTGTGGGGAGATTTGAGCTGGTTTATGGTTCCTCAGTGGGTTTTGGGGAGATTTGAGCTGGTTTTGGGGTTCCTCAGTGGGTTTTGGGGAGATTTGAGGTGGTTTTGTGGTTCCTCAGTGAGTTTTGGGGAGGTTTGGGTTGGTTTTGGGGAGGTTTGGTACAGCGACAATGACACGACGGTGACAGTGGTGGGGTCCCCGGCTGGGCTGTGGTGGCACCAGGTGTGGCGGGGACACCTGGGGCGCGGTGTGCCGGGCTCAGGTGCCACCGCGGTGCCACCTGGTGCCACCTGGTGACACCTGGGGACAGTTTGCGGCGCAGAGCGAGGAGCGGCCGTTCATCGTGGGCCACTTCCACGAGTGGCTGGCGGGGCTGGGGCTGGTGCTGAGCCGCGCCCGGCGCCTGCCCGTGGCCACCATCTTCACCACGCACGCCACGCTGCTGGGCCGCTACCTGTGCGCCGGGAGCGTGGACTTCTACAACAACCTGCACAGCGTGAGTCACCGGGGACACACCTGAGGGGTGGGACACACCTGGGGACATGGGGACACACCTGGGGACACACCTGGGGACATGGGGACACACCTGGGGACACACCTGGGACATGGGGACACACCTGGGACATGGGGACACACCTGGGGACACACCTGGGGACACACCTGGGACACACCTGGGGACATGGGGGTCGGTACCTGTGCGCCGGGAGCGTGGACTTCTACAACAACCTGCACAGCGTGAGTCACCGGGGACACACCTGAGGGGTGGGACACACCTGGGACACACCTGGGACACACCTGAGGGGTGGGACACACCTGGGACACATCTGGGACACACCTGGGACACACCTGAGGGGTGGGACACACCTGGGACACACCTGGGACACACCTGGGGACATGGGGACACACCTGGGGACACACCTGGGGACATGGGGGTCGGTGCCTGTGCGCCGGGAGCGTGGACTTCTACAACAACCTGCACAGCGTGAGTCACCTGGGACACCTGGGGACACACCTGGGACACACCTGAGGGGTGGGACACACCTGGGGATGTGGGGACACACCTGGGGACACACCTGGGACACACCTGGGGACATGGGGGTCAGTACCTGTGCGCCGGGAGCGTGGACTTCTACAACAACCTGCACAGCGTGAGTGCCACGGGACACCTGGGGACACACCTGGGGACACACCTGAGGGGTGGGACACACCTGGGGACACACCTGGGACACACCTGGGGACACACCTGAGGGGTGGGACACACCTGGGGACACACCTGGGACACACCTGGGGACATGGGGACACACCTGGGGACACACCTGGGGACATGGGGGTCGGTACCTGTGCGCCGGGAGCGTGGACTTCTACAACAACCTGCACAGCGTGAGTGCCACGGGACACACCTGAGGGGTGGGACACACCTGGGACACACCTGGGACACACCTGAGGGGTGGGACACACCTGGGACACACCTGGGACATGGGGACACACCTGGGGAAACACCTGAGGATAGGGGGACACACCTGGGGACATCAGGACACACCTGGGGACAACTGGGACACACCTGGGACACACCTGGGGACGTGGGGACACAGCTGAAGACACACCTGGGGGTGGGACACACCTGGGGACATGGGGACACACCTGGGGACATGAGGACACACCTGGGCACACCTGGGGACACACCTGAGGACACACCTGGGGGTGGGACACACCTGGGGACATGGGGACACACCTGGGCACACCTGGGGACAAAACTGAGGACACACCTGGGGTCACACCTGGGGACACACATGGGGTCAGGGCTCTCCGTGGGGTTCTGGGTGTGCCCAGGTGAGCTCAGCTGTGCCCAGGTGTGTGCCCAGGTGAGCAGCAGGTCAGGGCTGGGAGGGTTACAGGTGTGCCCAGGTGAGCTCAGGTGTGCCCAGGTGAGCTCAGGTGTGCCCAGGTGTGCCCTGTCCCCAGTTTGACGTGGACAAGGAGGCCGGGGAGCGGCAGATCAGGGCTGGGGGGGGTTCCAGGTGTGCCCAGGTGTGCCCAGGTGTGCCCAGGTGTGCCCTGTCCGCAGTTTGACGTGGACAAGGAGGCCGGGGAGCGGCAGATCAGGGCTGGGGGGGGTTCCAGGTGTGCCCAGGTGTGCCCAGGTGTGCCCAGGTGTGCCCTGTCCCCAGTTTGACGTGGACAAGGAGGCCGGGGAGCGGCAGATCTACCACCGGTACTGCCTGGAGCGCGCGGCCGCGCACTGCGCCCACGTGCTGACCACCGTGTCCCACGTCACCGCCGCCGAGGCCGAGCACCTGCTCAAGCGCAAGCCAGGTGTGACCCCGGCTCACCTGGGGAGCCCCAAAATCCCCAAATTCCTTCCCAATATTCCCAAAACCCCCAAAATCCCCCAAATCCCTTTCCCAAATTCCCCAAATCCCAGCCCTGGCACTGCCAAGGCCGAGCACCTGCTCAAGCGCAAGCCAGGTGTGACCCCGGCTCACCTGGGGAACCCCAAAATCACCAAATTCCTTCCCAATATTCCCAAAATCCCCCAAATCCCCTTCCCAGTATTCCTAAATCCCCTCCCAAAATCCCCCAAATCCCAGCCCTGGCACTGCCGTGGCGAGCACCTGTTCAGGTGCAAGCCAGGTGTGACCCCGGCTCACCTGGGGAACCCCAAAATCCCCCAAATCCCTCAAATCCCCTCCCAAAATCCCCCAAATCCCAGCCCTGGCACTGCCAAGGCCAAGCTCCTGCTCAAGCGCAAGCCAGGTGTGACCCTGACTCACCTGGGGAACCCCAAAATCCCCAAATTCACCTGGGGAACCCCAAAATCTCCAAATCCCCCAAATCCCTTCCCAAATTCCCTCCCAAAATCCCCCAAATCCCAGCCCTGGCACTGCCATGGCCGAGCACCTGCTCAGGTGTGAGCCAGGTGCGACCCCGACTCACCTGGGGCACCCCAAAATCTCCAAAATCTGCAAAATCCCCAAATTCCCTCCCCAATATTCCCAAAATACCCCAAAGTTCCCAAATCCCACCCCTGGCACTGCCAAGGCCGAGCTCCTGCTCAAGCACAAGCCAGGCGTGACCCCGACTCACCTGGGGCACCCCAAAATCCCCAAATTCACCTGGGAAACCCCAAAATCCCCCAAATCCCCCTGAGTACCCCAAAATCCCCCTGATCCCCTCCCGAAATCCCCCAAATTCCAGCCCTGTCACTGCCACGGGGAGGATTTGGGGGATTTGGGGGGGATTTGAGGATTTGGGGGGACATTTTTGGGGGCATTTTGGGGTCTCCCCAACCTCCCACACCTGGTGATCCCCAAAATCCTGGTGGACCCCCAAAGACCTCCTCCAAAAATCCCCTCTCCCCCAAAATTCCTTTTGGGGTTTCAGGGTGGGATTTGGGGAAGGATCCAGGGATTTTGGAAGGGGGATTTGGGGATTTGGGGGGACATTTTTGGGGGGATTTTGGGGTCCCCCTGACCCCCCAAAATCCCGCCCAGACCTGGTGACCCCCAACGGGCTGAACGTGCGCAAGTTCTCGGCCATGCACGAGTTCCAGAACCTGCACGCCCAGAGCAAGGCCCGCGTGCAGGAGTTCGTGCGGGGCCACTTCTACGGGTGAGGGACCCCAAAAGGGACCCCAAAATCCTGGGGGGACCCCAAAATCTTGAGGGGACCCCAAAATCCCGGGGGACCCCAAAATCCTGAGGGAAACTTGGGCAGAAATCCCAAATCTTGGGGGGATCCTGATATGCAGAGGGTGGGAGCCAGGAGTTCCTGTGGGGTCACTTCTACGGGTGAGGGACCCCAAAAGGGACCCCAAAACCTCGAAAGGGACCCCAAAAATNCCTGATGTGCAGAGGGTGGGAGCCAGGAGTTCCTGTGGGGTCACTTCTACGGGTGAGGGACCCCAAAAGGGACCCCAAAACCTCGAAAGGGACCCAAAAATCCTGGGGGACCCCAAAATCCCGGGGAGACCCCAAAATCCCAGGGGGATCCTGATGTGCAGAGGGTGGGAGCCAGGAGTTCGTGTGGGGTCACTTCTATGGGTGAGGGACCCCAAAAGGGACCCCAAAATCCCGGGGGGACCCCAAAATCCCGGGGGACCCCAAAATCCTGAGGGAAACTTGGGCAGAAACCCCAAAATCTTGGAGGGATCCTGATGTGCAAAAGGTGGGAGCCAGGAGTTTGTATGGGGTCACTTCTACGGGTGAGGGACCCCAAAAGGGACCCCAAAACCTCGAAAGGGACCCCAAAATCTTGAGGGGACCCCAAAATCCCGGGGAGACCCCAAAATCCTGGGGGAAACCCCAAAATCTTGGGGGGATCCTGATGTGCAGAGGGTGGGAGCCAGGAGTTCGTGTGGGGTCACTTCTATGGGTGAGGGACCCCAAAAGGGACCCCAAAACCTCGAAAGGGACCCCAAAAATCCTGGGGGACCCCAAAATCCCGGGGAGACCCCAAAATCCCGGGGGACCCCAAAATCCTGAGGGAAACTTGGGCAGAAACCCCAAAATCTTGGAGGGATCCTGATGTGCAAAAGGTGGGAGCCAGGAGTTTGTATGGGGTCACTTCTACAGGTGAGGGACCCCAAAAGGGACCCCAAAACCTCGAAAGGGACCCCAAAATCTTGAGGGGACCCCAAAATCCCGGGGGGACCCCAAAATCCTGGGGGAAACCCCAAAATCCCAGGGGGATCCTGATGTGCAGAGGGTGGGAGCCAGGAGTTCGTGTGGGGTCACTTCTATGGGTCAGGGACCCCAAAAGGGACCCCAAAACCTCGAAAGGGACCCCAAAATCTTGAGGGGACCCCAAAATCCCGAGGGGAACTCAAAATCCTGGGGGAAATGTGGCCAGAAACCCCAAAATCCTGTGGAAGATTCTGAGCCAGGAGTTCAGGGAAGCTTCTACAGGGGAGGGACCCCAAAAAAGACCCCAGTACCCCTAAAGGGACCCCGAAACCCCAAAAGGGACCCCAAAATCCTAGGAGAAACCCCAAAACCACGAGGGGATCCCAAAATCTTGGGGGGAAACCTGGGCAGAAACCCCAAATCCTGGGGGGGACCCCAAAACCCCAAAAGGGACCCCAAAAAAAGGACCCCAAAATCCTGAAAGGGACCCCAAAACCACGAGGGGAACCCAGAACCATGGGAGGTAACCCCAAAATCCAGTGAGGGAACCTCGGGGTGGTTTTGGGGTTCCCCAGGTGGGTTTGGGGTATTTTGGGTGTTTCTGTGGTGTTTTGGGAGTATTTTTGGGTATTTTGGGGTGTTTTTGACACATTTTGGGGTTTTTTGGGTGTTTTGGGGCTATTTTGGGGTATATTGGGGTGTTTTGGGGCTGTTTTTGGTGTGGTTTTGGGCTGTTTGTGGTGTGGTTTTTTGGCTGTTTTTGGGGTATTTGGGGGTATTTTTGGGCTGGTTTTGGGGTATTTTTGGGCTGGTTTTGGGGTGGTTTTGGGGTATTTTGGCATGTTTTGGGGTGTTTTGGGGTATTTGGGGTATTTTGGGGTGTTTGGGGGTATTTTGGGGTATTTGGGGGTGGGTTTGGGGTATTTTTTTGTATTTTGGGGTGTTTGGCGGTATTTTGGGGTATTTGGGGGTGGTTTTGGGGTATTTTTTTGGTATTTGGGGGTATTTGGGGGTGATTTTGGGGTGATTTTGAGGTATTATGCGGTATTTTGGGGTTTTTTTGGGGTATTTTTGGAGTGTTTTGGGTATTTTGGGGTGTTTTGGGGGTATTTGGGGGTGGTTTGGGGGTATTATGGGGTATTTTTTGGGGGTTTTTGGGGTATTTTGGGGGGGGTTTTTTGGGTATTTTGGAGTGTTTTGGGTATTTTGGGATATTTTTTGGGTATTTTGGGGTGTTTTGGGGGTATTTGGGGGTGGTTTTGGGGTATTATGGGGTATTTTTGGGGGGGTTTTGGGGTATTTTGGGGTGGGTTTTTTGGGTATTTTGGAGTGTTTGGGGTATTTTGGGGTATTTTGGGATATTTTTGGGGTATTTTGGGGTATTTGGGGGTGATTTTGGGGTGATTTTGAGGTATTATGGGGTATTTGGGGGTTTTTTTGGGTATTTTGGAGTGTTTTGGGTATTTTGGGGTATTTTGGGATATTTTTGGGGTATTTTGGGGTGTTTTGGGTATTTTGGGATATTTTTTGGGCATTTTGGGGTGTTTTTGGGGGTGTTTGGGAGTCCCAGGCGAGCTCCCCCCGCAGGCACCTGGATTTCGACTTGGACAAGACGCTTTTCTTCTTCATCGCCGGCCGCTACGAGTTCTCCAACAAGGGCGCCGACATTTTCCTGGAGGCGCTGGCCCGGCTCAACTACCTGCTCCGGGTGACACGGGGGTGGCCCTGGGGACATCGGGGACATCGGGGACATTTGGGGACATCGGGGGATTGGGGACATGGAGGACACTTGGAGACATTGGGGACATTGGGGGGATCGGGGGGATCGGGGACATTTGGGGACACTGGGGACATTTGGGACATCAGGGGGATCGGGGGGATCGGGGACATTGGGGACATCAAGGGGATTTGGGACATGGAGGACACTTGGAGACATTGGGGACATTGGGGACATCAGGGGGATCGGGGGATTGGGGGGATTGGGGACACTCAGGACATTTGGAGACATTGGGGACACTGAGGACATTTGGGGACATTGGGGACATTGAGGACATCGGGGACATTGGGGGATTGGGGACATGGAGGACATTTGGGGACATTGGGGGATTGGGGACATTGAGGGGATGGGAGACACTGGGGACATTGGGGATGTTGGGGACATTGAGGGGATCAGGGCGACAATTGGGGGGACTGGGACTTGGGGACACTAGGGACACTCAGGAGGATTGGGGACATCGGGGAAATTTAGGACATTGGGGACATTGAGGGGATTGGGGACATCGGGGACATTGGGCAGAGCAGGACTGGGGACACTGGGGGGATTGGGGACACTGAGGACATCAGGGACATTTGGGGACATTGGGCAGATCAGGAGGATTGAGGACATTGAGGGCATGGGGGACATTGAGGACATTGAGGGGATCGGGGACATCAGGGACAGTGAGGACATTGGGGACATTGGAGAGACATTGAGGGGGTTGGGGACATTGGGGACATTTGGGGATTTTGGACATTGGGGGACATTGGAGATGTTGGGGACATTGGGGTGATTTGGGACATCGGGGACATTGAGGACGTTGGGGACATCAAGGTGACATGGGGACATTGATGAAACCCATGGGGACACAAGTGACATTTGGGGACATTTGGGGACATTTGGGGACATTCCAGGCTTGGGGGGACACCGGAGGTATTTGGGGACAGAGGGGACATTTGGGGTCAGCTTGGGGACATGTGGGGGGGTTTTAGGGCACCCCGGGTGACATTTGGGGACCCTGGGTGACATCTGGGGACACCCCTGGCAGCTGATCCATGCTGGGGACATTTGGGGACAAACGGGGTTATTTGGGGCTGGGGGCGCTGCGGGGAATTTTGGGGACCTTTGGGGACTTTTGGGGACCCCAGGTGACATTGGGGACCCCGGGTGACATTTGGGGACCCCCCGCAGGTGAATGGCAGCGAGGTGACCGTGGTGGCATTTTTCATCATGCCCGCCAGGACCAACAACTTCAACGTGGAGTCGCTCAAGGGCCAGGCCGTGCGCAAGCAGCTCTGGTGGGACCCCAAAAAACCCCAAAAATGTCCCAAAAGATCTCAAAAAATCCCCAAAATCCACTGAGCTACCCCAAAATACCCCAAAACAACAAAAAAAAACCACCCAAAAATCCCAAAAATCCACCCCAAACCCATCCAGGGTTAGGCCGTGCGCAAGCAGCTCTGGTGGGACCCCAAAATATCCCCAAATATCCCCAAAATATCCCAAAATATCTCAAAAGATCCCAAAATACACAAAAATCCCAAATATCCCAAAATATCCCAAAAATCCACCCCAAACCCATCCAGGCCAGGCCGTGCGCAAGCGGCTCTGGTGGAACCCAAAATATCCCCAAAATATCTCAAAATAACCTAAAAAAAAATCTCAAAATACCCCAAAATACCCAAAATATCCCAAAAATATCCCAAAATCCACCCAAAATATCCCAAAAATATCCCAAAAATCCACCCCAAATCCATCCAGGGTTAGGCCGTGCGTAAGCAGCTCTGGTGGGACCCCAAAATATCCCCAAATATCCCCAAAATATCCCAAAATATCTCAAAAGATCCCAAAATACACAAAAATCCCAAATATCCCAAAATATCCCAAAAATCCACCCCAAATCCATCCAGGGTCAGGCCGTCCGTAAGCAGCTCTGGTGGGACCCCAAAATATCCCATAAAATCCAAAACTATCCCAAAATGTCCCAAAAATATTTTTTAAAATCTCAAAATATCCCAAAATATCCCAAAATACCCCCAAAAAAATCCTAAAAATCCCCCAAATATCCCAAAATACCCAAAAAAATCCCAAAAATCCACCCCAAACATATCCAGGGCCAGGCTGTGCACAAGCAGCTCTGGTGGGACCCAAAAACCCCCAAAAATATCCCAAAATATCCCAAAAAATCCCCAAAATCCACTGAACAGCCCCAAAAATACCCAAAAAAACCTAAAAAATCCAAAAATATTTCAAAAATCCACCCCAAATCCATCCAGGGCCAGGCCGTGCGCAAGCAGCTCTGGTGGGACCCAAAATATCCCAGAAAAATCCCAAAAATATCCCAAAATCCCCCCAAAAAATCCCAAAATATCCCAAAAAATCCCCAAAATCCCCAAAAATATCCAGAAAAATCCCCAAAATATCCCCAAAATATCCCAAAATATCCCAAAACTCCCCCAAAAAATCCCCAAAATCCCCCCCAAATTCTGCCCCCCAGGGACACGGCCAACGCCGTGAAGGAGAAATTCGGGAAGAAGCTCTACGAGTCTCTGCTGGTGTAAGAACCCCCCAAAAAAAACCCCCAAAAAACCCCAAACCCCCCAAACGCACCCTGGGGACCCCCGGGGATTTTGGGGTGGGGTCCCCTCGGCTCCCAGCCCCCCCAAATTTTAGGGGGAACCTCCCGGACATGAACAAGATGCTGGACAGGGAGGATTTCACCATGATGAAGAGAGCCATCTTCGCCACCCAGGTGATTTTGGGGGGCTGCACCCCCTTTTTGGGGGGCTGGGACCCCTTTTTGGGGGTGTGACTCCTTTTTTGGGGGGCTGGGACCCTTTTTTTGGAGGGCTGGGACCCTTTTGGGGGGGCTGCACCCTCTTTTTGGGGGGCTGAGACCCATTTTTTGGGGGGCTGGGACTCTATTTTGGGGGGCTGGAACCCATTTTGGGGGGCTGCACCCCTTTTTTAGGGGGCTGAGACCCCTTTTTTTGGGTGGGGACCCCCTTTTTGGGGAGCTGAGACCCATTTTTTGGGGGGCTGGGACCCCTTTTTGGGGGGCTGCCACCCCATTTTGGGGGTGGGGACCCACTTTTTGGGGGTGTGACTCCTTTTTGGGGGGCTGGGACCCTTTTTTGGGGGGGCTGGGACCCTTTTTGGGGGGCTGCACCCCCTTTTTGGAGGGCTGGGACCTCTTTTTGGGGGGCTGGGACCTCTTTTTGGGGGGCTGGGACTCTATTTTGGGGGGCTGTAACCCATTTTGGGGGGCTGGGACCCCTTTTTGGGGGGCTGCACCCCTTTTTTGGGGGGCTGAGACCCCTTTTTTTGGGTGGGGACCCCCTTTTTGGGGGGCTGGACCCTTTTTGGGGGGCTGAGACCCCATTTTGGGGGGCTGGGATCTCTTTTTGGGGTCTGACACACTTGAGACCCTTTTTTGGGGTTACAGAAAATTTTGGGGTTCCTAGGTCCCCCTTTTTTTGGGTGTGGGGACAATAATGGGGTCCTGGGCCCCCCTTTTTTGGGAGCGATTTTGGGGTTCCTGCTGCCCCTTTTTGGGGTAAAATCAGGAGAATTGGACAGAAATTTGGGGTTCCTGGTTCCGTTTTTTGGGGTCAGAGAAGATTTTGGGGTTCCTGGGTCCCCCTTTTTTTGGGGGCGATTTTGGGGTTCTTGCTGCCCCTTTTTGGGAGAGATTTTGGGGTTCCTGCTGCCCCTTTTGGGAGAGATTTTGGGGTTCCTGCTACCCATTTTTGGGGTAAAACCAGTAAAATTGGACAGAAATTCGGTGCTCCTGGGTGCGTTTTTTGGGGTCGGAGGAGCTTTGGGTGCCCGTTTTTGGGGTGTGGGGACATTTGGGGGGGTCCTGAACACTGGGGGGACCCCCAAAATTTGTCCCCCCCAGCGTCAGTCCTTCCCCCCCGTGTGCACCCACAACATGCTGGACGACGCCACCGACCCCATCCTGACCACGATCCGCAGGATCGGCCTCTTCAACAGCAGCAACGACCGCGTCAAGGTGGCACCTGGGGACACTTCTGGGGGTGGGGACATCGGGGGGACACGGGGACATCGGGGGGACACGGGGACATCAGGGGATGTGGGGTTTGGGGGTGCTCAGGGTTTTTTTTGGGGGATTTTTGGGTGTTTTATGGGGGTTTTTAGGGGGTTTTGGAGCATCTGGAGCTCTTCAAGAGCAGCAATGATCAGGTCAAGGTGGCACCTGGGGACACTTCTGGGGGTGGGGACATCGGGGGGACACAGGGACATCAGGGGGACCGGGGGGACAGGGGGTTTGGGGGGTTTTTGGGGATTTTTGGGGGGTTTTTGGGGGGTTTTGAGGGGGTTTGGAGCATCTGGAGCTCTTCAACAGCAGCAACGACCGCGTCAAGGTGGCACCTGGGGACACTTCTGGGGGTGGGGACATCGGGGGGACACGGGGACATCGGGGGGACACNAACAGCAGCAACGACCGCGTCAAGGTGGCACCTGGGGACACTTCTGGGGGTGGGGACATCGGGGGGACACGGGGACATCGGGGGGACACGGGGACGTCGGAGGATATGGGGTTTGGGGGTCTTTTTGGGATTTTTGGGGGTTTTGAGGGGGTTTGGGGTATCTGGAGCTCTTCAACAGCAGCAACGATCGCGTCAAGGTGGCACCTGGGGACACTTCTGGGGGTGGGGACATCGGGGGGACATGGGGACATCGGGGGGACACGGGGATACCAGGGGATGTGGGGTTTGGGGGTGCTCAGGGGTTTTTTTTGGGGATTTTTGGGGGTTTTTATGGGGGTTTTGGGGGGTTTTGGATCATCTGGAGCTCTTCAAGAACAGCAACGATCAGGTCAAGGTGGCACCTGGGGACACTTCTGGGGGTGGGGACATCGGGGGGACACAGGGACATCAGGGGGGACACGGGGACATTGGGGGATGTGGGATTTTGGGGGTCTTTTTGGGATTTTTGGGGGGTTTTGAGGGGGTTTGGAGCATCTGGAGCTCTTCAAGAGCAGCAACGATCAGGTCAAGGTGGCACCTGGGGACACTTTTATGGGGTGGGGACATCGGGGGGACACGGGGACATCGGGGGATGTGGGGTTTGGGGGCTTTGGTTGGGATTTTGGGGAGTCTGCAGGGAGGGATTTGGGGTTCCAGGGCATTTTGGGGTTCTGGGCTAGAAATTTTGGGGTTCAAATCAGGATTTTGATTTCTGAGAGGGAATTTTTCTGTTCTGGGATGGGAATTTGCAGGAATTTTGGTTTCTGGGATGGGAATTTTGGGGTTCAGCTCAGAATTTTGGGGTTCTGGGGTGAGAATTTTGAGGTCCAGAGCAGGATTTTTGGTTTCTGGGGTGGAAATTTCGGGGTTCAGCTCAGAATTTTGGCATTCTGGGTTGGGAATTTGCAGAATTTTGGGGTTCTGGAGTGGGAATTTCGGGGTTCAGCTCAGGATTTTGGGTTTCTGGGATGGGAATTTGCAGGATTTTTGGTGTTCTGGGGTGGAAATTTCGGGGTTCAGATCCAAATTTTGGGGTTCTGGGTTGGGAATTTTGGGGTTCAGATCAGGATTTTGGGGTTCTGGGTTGGGAATTTGCAGGATTTTTGGTGTTCTGGGGTGGAAATTTCGGGGTTCAGCTCAGAATTTTGGTGTTCTGGCGTGGAAATTTCGGGGTTCAGCTCAGAATTTTGGGGTTCTGGGATGGGAATTTCGGGGTTCAGCTCAGAATTTTGGGGTTCTGGGATGGGAATTTGCAGGATTTGGGGTTTCTGGAGTGGGAATTTCAGGGTTCAGCTCTGGATTTTGGGTTTCTGGAGTGGGAATTTCGGGATTCAGCTCTGGATTTTGGGTTTCTGGAGTGGGAATTTCGGGGTTCAGCTCAGAATTTTGGGTTTCTGGAGTGGGAATTTCAGGGTTCAGCTCTGGATTTTGGGTTTCTGGAGTGGAAATTTCAGGGTTGGGTTTCTGGAGTGGGAATTTCGGGGTTCAGCTCTGGATTTTGGGTTTCTGGGATGGAAATTTCGGGGTTCAGCTCTGGATTTTGGGTTTCTGGAGTGGGAATTTCAGGGTTCAGCTCTGGATTTTGGGTTTCTGGGATGGGAATTTGCAGGATTTTTGGTTTCTGGGGTGGAAATTTCGGGGTTCAGCTCTGGATTTTGGGTTTCTGGGATGGAAATTTCGGGGTTCAGCTCCGGATTTGGGGGCTCACCCCCCGTTTCCCCCCTCCCCAAGATCATCTTCCACCCCGAGTTCCTGTCCTCCACCAGCCCCCTGCTCCCGGTGGACTACGAGGAGTTCGTCCGCGGTTGCCACCTGGGCGTCTTCCCCTCCTACTACGAGCCCTGGGGCTACACCCCAGGTGAAAGCCACCCTCGGGAGGGGGTCCCCGAGTCCCCGGGACCCCCCAAAACCCGCCCGGGACCCCCAAAAACCCCCCGTGACCCCCCAAAATCCGCCCCCCAGCCGAGTGCACGGTCATGGGCATCCCCAGCGTCTCCACCAACCTCTCGGGCTTCGGCTGCTTCATGGAGGAGCACATCGCCGACCCCTCGGCCTACGGTCAGCGGCGGGGACCCCGAAAATGGGGGAGCACCCCGAAATATGGGGGGGACCCCAAAATATGGGGGGGCACCCCGAAATATGGGGGGGACCCCAAAATATGGGGGGGACCCAAAATTATGAGGGGTGGGTACAAAATCCAGGGGGTGACCCAGAATTCTGAGGGGTTCAACAAAAACCTGGGGGGGACCCCAAATTCTGGGAGGGGCCCAAATTCTGGGGGGGACCCCAAAGTATGGGGGGGACCCCAAAATAGGAGGGGAACCCCAAAATGGGGGGGGGGCGGGCAAAATTCAGGGGGTGTCCCAAAATTCTGGAAGGGGGTGGGTACAAAATCCAAGGGGTGACCCAAAATTCTGAGGGGTTCAACAAAAACCTGGGGGGGACCCCACATTCTGAGGGGGGCCCAAATCTGGGGGAAAGCCAAAATATGGGTGGGACCCCAAAATATGGGGGGGGACCCCAAATTCTGAGTGGGGGGGAAAAATTCAGGGGGGGTCCCAAAATTCTGGGGAGGGGGTCAAAAACCTGGGGTGGGTCAACAAAAAACTGGGGAGGGGGGCAAAATCCAAAATTTTGGGTGGGGGCTCAAAAACCTGGAAGGGGACCCAAATACCGAGTGGGACCCCAAAATTCTGGGAGGGTCACCAACACCTGTCCCCATGTCCCCATCCTCGTCACTGTCCCCATGTCCCCATTGTCCCCATTGTCCCTGTCCCCATGTCCTCATGTTCCTGTCCCCATCCTTGTCCTCATCCCTGTTCCTGTCCCCATCATGATGTCCCTGTCCCCATGTCCCTGTCCCCATCCCCTTGTCCCCATCCCCATGTCCCTGTGTCCCCCTGTCCCCATGTCCCTGTCCCTGTGTCCATGTCCCCATTGTCCCCATCTCCATGTCCCTGTCCCCATTGTCCCCACATCCCAGTCCCCATGTCCCTGTCCCCCTGTCCCCCTGTCCCTGTCCCTGTCCCCATTGTCCCCGTGTCCCTGTCCCCATGTCTGTCCCATGTCCCCCTGTCCCTGTGTCCCCATCCCTGTGTCCATGTCCCCACTGTCCCCATGTCCCTGTGTCCCTGTCCCCATGTCCCCCTGTCCCCATCATGATGTCCCTGTGTCCATGTCCCCATTGTCCTCATGTCCCTGTCCCCATGTCCCCATGTCCCTGTCCCCATCCCTGTCCCCGTCCCCATGTCCCTGTGTCCCCCTGTCCCCATCCCCATGTCCCCATTGTCCCCATGCCCCCATTTTGCCATCTCCATGTCCCTGTCCCCATGTCCCCATCCCTGTCCCCACGTCCCTGTCCTTGTCCCCATGTCCCCATCCCTGTCCCAGTCCCCCTGTTGCTGTCCCCATGTCCCACTCTCCATGTCCCCATTGTCCCCGTGTCCCCACTGTCCCCATCTCCATGTCCATGTCCCCATTGTCCCCCTGTCCCCATTGTCCCCACGTCCCTGTCCCAGTCCCCACTGTCCCCATCTCCATGTCCATGTCCCTGTCCCCGTCCCCATGTCCCCATCCCCATGTCCCCCTGTCCCCATGTCCCCATTGTCCCCATGCCCCCATTTTGTCATCTCCATGTCCCTGTCCCCATTGTCCCCATCCCC